AAAGATGGCCCACTTTGAACACCAGGCTGCGAGAGCGCAGGAAGGCGTAGAAGCGGCCGGAGAAGGCGTTGCCGTCCATGTCGAGCACGTGCTTGTACTGCAGGGCGTCGTCGCGCTTGGCGTACTCCTGCACGGGGAAGAAGGCGCGCTGCGCGTCGCAGTCGCTCGGGTCGCACTGCCCGACGTGCGAGAAGAAGATGTCGAAGAGCTGCTTGTACTCGCCGCGCGGGACTTCGCGCGTTGTCCATTGTTGTTGTTGTGGTTGCTGCTGTTGTTGTGGGGGCTCTTGCGGTTGTTGTTTTTCTTGGTCTTGGTCTTGGCTTTGGTGTTGGTCTTGGGGGGCGGGCTTCGGCTGCTTCTGCTGCTGTGCCGGCTTGGTGGTGGTGGTGTCATCGGGGCTGCGGCGGCCTAGGGTGCCGGTGCTCGGGGGGTTGAGGATTTTGGCTTGGTCGGGGGCGTTGATCTTCTGGACAAAACGTTGGCGGTGCTGGCGGCGCCAGCCACCGTTGCGGGAGAAGCCTCCGGTGGTGGAACCGCGCCAGTAGAGGCGGTTAAGTTTCTTGTCCCAGGCCGGATCGCTATCCTCGGTATAGGGGACTTTATCCGCCCAGTACCAGGGAGATGGATAGATGATGTCGGCGTAGGAGGAGATTTTAGACTGGGAAAAGATGGGGAAGAGGTCGTGGACCACGCCGTAGGCGTTAGGTCGCTCGAAGAAGCCGTAGGTGGAGCCGAGCGAGGGGGATAGGCAGACGTCAGACATGGCGGTCCAGTTGGAGACGAAACCGAGGTCGCCGACGGCGTATTTCTCAATGTCATCGAACTGCTCGTCCTCTTCTAGATTGCGGGAAGGGGAGTCCGTGGGACAGGACATGCGCGAGTGTGTCCAGACGGGCTGGTGGGCGAATAGGCTGAAGCGGGTTAGTTTGACCTCGTCGAAGCGACCGTTGTAGCTGAGTCCGGCAGGCTTCTTGGTGAAGCCGTTGCGAAGGGACTTCGCAGCATTGGCGGCCGGCATGTTCTTCGTTTGCGCAGTGTGCACCAGCCGCACCATGTCGTCGTGCGGCACCACGACCCGCGGCTCGTCGTTGGCGTTGAAGGCCAGGTCCATATCCGGCAGGTGCTTGACAAAGCTTTGCATCATGCTAACCATAGCCGGCCCCACCCATTCGAAGCCCCCGAAGATGTGCGACACATTGCCATTGCGCACCTGTAAGCCCATGAGCTGGTTATCAGTCGTCCCCAGCGCCTCGCGGGCCCGTGCTCGTATTGTCGACGGTTTCAGGCCCCAAAACGGCGTCAGCAGTTCGTGTACTGTGTCGAACTCGTCCACCAACTGCACGTTCTTGCTCTTCGCGAACGCCCACCACTTGTCGAAGTGCGGGGGCGGCGGCAGGCCATACCGGCGGCGATACTCGGCAACGGCGGCGCGGAGGTTCTTGGATTGGCGAGCCTTGACCGCCTCAAACTCGCGCTCGGCGTCGTTGATGAGGTGCCATATCGGGTGCGGACCGCCGGGGACCGGCCCCGGCTTGGTGGTCGCGAACTTCTTACTGGTGAAGGTGATGATCTCTTTTGTCTTGGGCGGCTGGGGGGCTTGCGTACCCCCTTTTCCGGATTGCGTTCGAAGGCTGCCGGGGGATGTTTTCGAAATCGAGAAGAAGCAGAATATTAATATGAAAAAGGCGCCGATCACGCCGATTTGGCGGTTGCGCATCGTCAGCTTTGGGATACTAGTCACGGCAGCCTTGAGCCGCGGGCCAAGCGCTTCGCCCATAAGCCGTCGCCGAATTCGACTCCTCTCCGTCTAACGATGATTTCGGCCCTCTCTTCAAGGTGGCGGCGTCTCTATCCCTGCTATAGGTCGGTCCCTGACACTCATCGGAAGGAACGAGAGAAATGGCGAAGTGGGATGTTGGAAGAAGTCGAGGCAATGCAATTGGAGACCGGTTGGGGGCTTAACGATGCGGGTTGCTGAAGGAGTTGGCCAAGAATAATCCTAGACTTGATTGCATAAAAAACTGGAGACGCCATCCGAACCCAGGCACTGCCAGGCGAGTTCCGTCGCAAACCAAAACCACGCCGCCCTCTAACCAAAAAAGACGAACTCCAAGAAAGGTAAAAGGAAATAGAAAATCAATAAAACAGAATAGAGGGAGAAAAAGGGCTAGAATAATAAAACACAAGTAAAAGATAAAATAAAAAAGCCCATTGAGTAAAAAAGGTTTCTTTAGGTTTGCGGATACTTTGTGTTTTGTTCGTACGAGTCGTGAGCATCTGCGCTTCGAGTCCTTTTTTTTTTTTTTTTTGGTACAGGCGCATCGCATCGCTGCTCCCCAACGTCGTACTGCATACGCGAAAGAGACCATGGCCATAGCTGATGACTGCGCCACTGCGGAAAACAGAACAATCGAGTTATGCACATCGGCCAGCGCCCGACAAGCAGCCGAGCCTGGATACGAACTCGATCGGGGCCCTGCATCCGAGATACGCGGCCAAGATCGTGGGGTCAAGATATGCTCACAAGGCTCGTGGGTTCCGTTGTGCGAAAACCCGAAGTTGCACCCGAAAGTTTCAGTCAGGGACGGAATCGATTATCGTCCAGCGAGCACAACAGATAAGGTCTCACATAATGTATATCACCGGGGTAACCAATTAGCGATGTCTGCGATAGTCATGTCGACCACGCAGGCCGTTTGTATTCACGGAAGGGTATCCCTTAAATGCATCGCAACTCCGCACACTTTGCCAGGCCTTTTTTGCTTTTTTAAATCCGTTCGTCTCTCATTAGCTTTAGCTGTCTAGTAGAAGAAGCCAATGATCTTGCCAGAGACGTGCTTGCGACGGGCCTCCTCGTGGTCCATGATGCCAGCCGAGGTGGTGAGCATGACGTAGCCGAATTGACGGGCCGGGAGAAGCTTGACAACCCACTTCTCGAGCTCGGCAAGGTGGACGTTGTAACGGGGGGAGATGACACCGCACTTGTTGAGACTGCAATCGCTGTCAGCAAAAGAATATCCACCAAGCTACACTTCGGGCCATGGACTCACCGGCCGTTAAGCTGGACAACGATCTTGCCGCTGCGGTGGTTGTCAACCTCCTCAAACTCGCCAATGTAGCCTGAAAAGCGATCTTGTCAGTTGTTTGTTGCGCGAGATTAAACATTGTACATCATTGGAAGTCTCCGAGAACGTGTAAGACCCTCGCATTGGTGTTTGATTTATCGGCAACTTAAAGGGCTTCGACCGTGGGGCGGAAAGAATCGTTGCCTAGTTATCATGCCGAATTTGGAGGGAACGGGGAGGGTCGGGGAGGACCAGTGAGGATCAGGGAGGATTGCGAGGGTCTTGCACGTATCGCTGAGCTGGCCGGTGGGCGTGGGCAACGTACCGTGGCGCTGCATGACCTGCAGGAACTTGACAATGACCTTGGACGAGGGCCGGATCAGAGCCTGGCGCTTGCCGGCCTTCTCGGCGTTGTTGATGGTGTTGAGAGCATCGTGGAGAACGGAGGTGCGGACCATCTTGGCGGTAGTTCGTCGGAACGGAGATTCTCAAATCGTCAAAAGAGGAAGTGAGGTATCTGCCAGCGTGCCGAAGCGTATTACGTTAGCCTTCCGAGGCTCGAGCATGGAGAGTGCCCTCGTCGATAAATCTCAAGAGGGTTCTGCCTGCTCAGTTGCCGGAGAGGAGAAGAGTGTCACGAGGTAGCGTCGGCCGCTGCTTCAGCCACCCCATGATTTCTTCCCTCGGCCTTCGCGAAGGACATTTTTCTGTTGAGTCATCTTCGAGAGTATTTACATACCTCAAACTATGCCTACGTTGGAGGGCTGGTGATGGTTGATCAGGTCGGGGATGGAGGAGGTTTGACCGCGACCAGAAAATTCGCAATGGATGGAGCTGTGGTGGTCCGTGCATGCGACAACTTGCCCTAAAACGCCGACCTCTGGAATTGTGCGCTTGCTTAAAACGGACTAGCTCGGTGCGGATTCACTGCGACCACAAAAATTCCTTGAATTGAATCCCCGGCCGATTGGTGGGGCCGATTCCCGCACACATTAATCTTGACTTTTGTGGCCGTGTCAACATCCCTCCCCCTCAACACACGAAAAAGGAACACACATTACTCTTCGAGGACGTAACCGACAGTCTATCAACAATCATAAACGTCAAGATGGTGAGATCCCCATCGTCCTCCCCTCCTTAGATCACCCATCGCCATCGACCAATTTCTGCACCATCGACGAAGCCCCAGCGCTCGCAATTCCTCGAACGACCCAGAACGCACCCCGCTAACCATGGCTTTTTCCCCATCTAGTCGGACGTAGAAGAGAACAACGCCCCGGAGGTTCAGGAGGAGGTTGAGGTTTCGGCCGATGCCGGCAAGGGCCAGATGTCGGTTCTGGATGCGCTCAAGGGCGTCCTGAAGCTGTCTCTGATGCACGACGGTCTCGCCCGCGGTCTCCGCGAGGCGTCCAAGGCCCTCGACCGGAGGCAGGCGCACATGTGCGTGCTCAACGAGTCGTGCGAGGAGGAGGCCTACAAGAAGCTCGTCATCGCCCTCTGCTCCGAGCACAAGATCCCGCTTATCAAGGTGCCTGACGGCAAGCAGCTCGGCGAGTGGGCTGGTCTCTGTGAGTAGGCCCGGGATATCCCGATTGGGGAAACGGTGGCTTGTGCTGACTGTTTGTGTTCTAGGCGTTCTCGACCGTGAGGGTAACGCCCGCAAGGTCGTCAACTGCTCTTGCGTCGTCGTCAAGGACTGGGGTGAGGAGTCGCAGGAGCGCTCCATCCTCCTCAACTACTTCTCGTCTGAGGCTTAAGCGAACCAAGCACGGGCGAGGGTAGTGGCATTTCGCGAGGAAAGAAGGAGAATGGGGATATCATAGAGGGATTTGGAGAAGGGTTCACCTCTCGGGCCACGGTCCGATGACATCTTCCTCGGGTGTGCTCTGGTTCTCACCGGCTGGCTAAAAGGATGGCGGGACATCTGGGAGCCCCTTCACGCGGCTACCCTTCGCATACGGCATGGGAAACTGAGCAAGACAAAATAAAAAAGAAGCCTCACAACTGGCCATTCCGGTTGTCACCCAACCCCACTCCTACTTGCGCTCTTCAACCATGATGATGTGATACCCAAAGCCCGTCTTGACCCTCTCAAACGTGGGGCTAGCGACCGGGCTGGGCGGTATCTTAAAGGCCACCTCCTCAAACTGAGGGTCCAGACTCCCCTTGGACTTCCAGCCGAGCGAACCTCCTGTATCAAGCGTGTGAGCATGTCCGTGACCTCCAGAGTACAAAACAAAGAGAACTCACCCGCCTTGGCCTTGTCCTCGGACATCTCCCTCGCCACGACGTCAAACTTCTCACCGTTATTCAGCCGGCCGATAGCCTCTTCGCTCTTGGCAAATTTCTCACACTATTTTGTAAAAGGAGAAAGAAAAAAAAATGAAACGTTAGCATCACACTCTTGTATCCCAGTCACAAACAAAACGAAACATCCCAGTAAAAGTACCCAGGGGGTTACAAGGGGAACATACAAGAATATGCCTGACGTTGATGGTCATGCCCTTGAGCTTAGAAGCCTTGGTGTCGCTACTGCTGTCGGCGGCACCGGCGGTTTTGGAGTTGCTGCCCTTGCCGCCGCCCTTCTTCGACTTATCAGCCTTGGTGTCGGCCTTGCCGCCGCCTTTGCCGCCGGCAGGTTTGGAGTCTTTGGATTTCGCCATGGCGGTTGAATGTCTTGTGTTTTAAGACTAGGTACGGTCGGGGGTGAGGCTTTGAGGTGGTGGTTGCTTGGAGAAGATTTCGGGGGAATACTTGGTGAATGTCTTGTGTAAAGAATCTTGGCCATGACCGCTGCGCATATGTTGGTTGCCCCCTCTCGCTTTGACGATGCGAGCCGCCTGTGCTTCGAAGGGTTAGGGTTACTGTGTACGTATGATTTCCCAAGGCACACATGAACGTTTCCCCTATTATGTTCTCCAACTCAAGTACTTTGTAAAAATAAGGTATTAAAACTACACCGTGGGTTTTTAGTGATATTCGGTACTCCTTCCATGGTCATGGTTACCAAGGATGGTTCAACCACACCACTTGTCCCTTGACACCCCCCATTATTCCATCAAGAACTGCTGCTTGCTTTCATGATAATCCTGGCAGCCTCGTTTTGTTTAGGTACTTCGCGTTAATCCTCGGTCAAAGGCTATCCACGGTTCTCCTCTTTCTAGGGCTTATCCAACGGCGTCCGGCCTTCTCTACTTTGGTTCTTGTGGTTTCGGTACTCTGTTTCGAGAGTTATTTGAACTTTGACTCTCTTGTACAAGTCCCAATCATCGAGGTGCGAGGGCCGTGGCGTTTTCATGAGTTCTGACATTTCCGGTTGTTCAGGTAGTTTCTCAAGATCTACCTCCAGGTGGCACTCCCCGGTGGTGCGGTTGCGCCTCTCGTTGTATCTGAGAAGTTTCCACCTGTAGTCCGTCGATTAGCTTACTACCAACGTATTCTCGAGGAAGAGCATACAAGCCATCGTTTCGGATGCCGACCGTAGGAGCAAAATGGCTACGGAGTTTATAACCTCTCAGAACACGTAGTTGGTTCCCGGTCTGGGAGAGGAGGCCCGGGTGCATGTCTGCTAGTGTTCCCTTGGAGAAATATTTGACTCTATTATGACCGGCATTGAGCTCTCTCCCGGCCAAGAGAGGCAAGGCTAGAATCCCGTCGTCTCCTCTGCTCGTTGTGTCTCGGTCCGTTCCCACCACACCGTCCAAGTGAGCACAAGCTAGGTTTATCCACTATCTGCGAGGTCGTCAGCCGGTGGATACCACAACACAATATCAGGAGACCGTACCCCCCTGGCTTGAATGTGGTAATGTTCCTGGGGCTATTGATCGGCTCTGGTTTGTTTCCCATCGCCGACCCGGGAGCAGCATCCCGATCGACGGGCATGCCTTCCTTAAGCCGCCACTTCATGGTCAAGTCGTTGGCACGTATCTCATCTACCATGAGATAGTCATATTTGAGGCGTTCCCGCCACATTCTTTCCAGTTTCTCGGCAGTGACAGTGTCGTGGACGAACCTCGGAGCTAGAGTGAAGGGCATCTCGCCGCACTGGGTCAAGTCGGCAACCAACTTATCCAGGCGGGCGAGCTTGATCGTCTGGAAATCGAGAGTCGGAACGCCATCCGTTTCTTCCAAGACGGCAAGCTCCATAAAAAAAGACATGACGTCCGCATTCGGGCCAAAATGACCTTGCTTAGCGAGGGATTCTCTCACCGAGTCTGACAATTCTAATAGGGCCTCAGCACCGAAATTGGCTTGGGGCGGGACGGCTCTATGGCGATGGGCGAGATGATTCGCGAAATAAGAGGCTGCTATACATTAGTATTGAGAATAATTTCTGGTCCTGGGGGTAGTATGGGACATACATGACATGGCACCGGTCGGCCAGGTAGTTGGAGAAACATTGCCACCCTCCTGGGATATGTGAGGGAGCTGGCTCATGCTGATGTTTCTGATGCGAGCATCCTTGGGATACATCCTTCTCCCCGGATCGTCCAACAAGACTAGAGATGGCCACGAAGCACTCCGTTCATGGTCGTGGAACCTTTTGCAGACCCCCTTCCTCACAGAGTGGAAGAACCTTCCCCTTTTCCGTGCCGCCGAGGCCCCATACCGGGGTTTGAAGCATAGGCACCTGCTCCAAATATACCTGGATAGCATGCTGGTGTTTTCTTCCTGAGAAAATGACAAATATTAACTAGGAATAGGGGCGAGAAGAAGCAATAAAGAACACATAGGTAAGCGTAGGGTCGTAGGGTTGCGTATACGGAGACGAATAGGTTTTGGTATCGGCATCTCAAGAATTAGTGCCTCGGGGGTTCATTGACCAAGTCGGTGATAGCTGCGTCAACAACTGCCCGCCAACTGAAGGAACAACCCTTAACAGCGCGACTTCCAGAGCATACCACCCCCAACTTCACCTCAACGCAGCCAGCGTCCCCACCACATCCTCCAGCTCATCCGCCAACGCTTTATCCCTCTTCACCCTCCCCGTCAACCGATTCGCAACGCCCAGCACCGCACTAGTCGAGTGCATGTAACGCTTCCGCATCCCCGGATTCGCGTTCACCAACAAAGTGGTAACCAGCTGCAGGACCGCAATCTGACACTCGAGCACCACCGCTGGCGCCTGCGTCGTCTCCGGCACATCCCACGCAGCCACCCTAGTCACGAGATCCATCCAAGCCTCTCTGGTCCCAGGCGTCTCCTCCTCCGCAATCTGCAACAACACGCGCACAATCTCCACCCCCCTAGCCGCCTCCTCCTCCTCCACCCCCCGCTCCTCAGAGCCCCCCTCCACCCCGAGGCTCCTCCCCAAAACCGCCTCCAAATCCCCCCCCAACACCTCCCACCCCCCCTCCCCCAGCACCGCCTCCCTGCCCTTCCGCTCCGCAACAACGCCCTCAAACGCAACCAGCACCGCCCGGCGGAAATCCAACCGCCTTCGCCTCTCCCCCTCCCCATCCCCACTATTTGCCGCCGCCGCCGCCGTCTGGCTCCGCTGGTACAGCTCAACCAGCATGTCGGCCAGGCCGCTGGCCTCCTTGCGCAGCAGCTCGTTGTCGTCCTCGCGGATCCAGAGCGCGAGGGCGCGCACAGCAGCGAGGATGAGCGGGTCGTTGGCGGCGAGGAGTTCGCTGGAGGTGGAGTCCCAGGCGAGGGCGGGGTGGGTTGTCGTGGTGGTGGTGGTGGTGGTGGTGTTGGTGGTTGTTGTGGTTGTTGTGGTTGTGGTGGTGGCGGAGACGGAGCCCGCGCGGGCGTCGGGGTGCAGGCCCATGGCACCGGCGACGGCGGCGTCCCAGCGGTCGCGCAGGTATTCGGTGGTGAGGGAGAGGGTTTCGGAGATGGATTTGCGGAGGTGCAGGAGGAGGTCGGGGGAGATGGTCCAGGAGAGGTCGGAGGTGGTGGACGGTGAGTCCATGGAGCGGAGGAGATAGCCGGTGAAGTGGGAGAGGGTGTTGTAGGCGGATGTGAGGCGGTGTGAGGTGGCTGGGTAGGTGGGGGAGTTGAGCTGCTCGAGGAGGGTGGGGAGGGTGGCGCGGATGTCGACGAGCATGAGGTTAATGAGGAGGTAGGAGAATGGGTTGGAGGAGGAGGTGGTGGTGGTGGTTGTGTCTTGTTCGGCGAAGAGAAGCTGCGGGGCCTGGAAGGGGTAGATCTCGAGGAGCGCCGCGGAGAGGTTCGTGAAGGCGGCGCGGCCGGCGGCGGTGGGGCGGCTGACGACGAGGTCGCGGATGAATTTGCTGATGGATGGAAGCCATTTTGGATTGGATGGTACAACCTAGTGGTTGTTAGTCCATTTGTTTACCTAGTGGTGAAATTCAGGGGTAACCGACCTCTGGTTCTAACCGTGGCAGCAAGCTTGCGAGGAAGCTCAACAGTGTCACGGCATCGGTCCCCTTGAAGGAGGCAACAAGGCTTCCGATCGTAGCACTGATGTTGGATCTCAAACTGTCTTTGTCCGGTGCCGCCGTCATGGCATTAAGCCACGCGTATAGCAGGACGTCCAGGGCAAGGGGTTGTGAGGGCGCAATTTCGGTCAAAGGAGAGAGGTCCTCCACCGCTGTAAAAGCTCGGGCGCCATCTGGCTGGCTCACGAGGCTCACTAGAGTCTCGAGAGTCAACCTTGTGGTCTCACCAGAACTATTCCATGGCCAGTCAGCGGGTGCCCGGTACCCCAACACGTCGGTGGGCTGAGAATGGGCGAGTGAACTCACCAATGCAGCAGACAAGCCACGAGCTGTGGTATCCTGTCCAATAATTTGGGGCTTTTCTTTCCAGTCTCGGGAAATAGAGCAGCAAAGGTGTGGAGTACAGAGACAGCCAAGTCGAGCATATCATTCGAGTCCTTCCGTCGTGTATCTGATGACTTCTGTTTCGACCCGGTCTTGATCAGCCGCCCTAGGAATTTGGCTGGGATGCTTTCCCAGAGCGATACGATAGTCTCGCCATCGTTTCGTAGCTCTGGCGTATTGTCGAGAACGGATTTGAGCAGTGCAAG